AAAAAAAAAAAAAAAAAAAAAAAAAAAAAGGACAGGGAAAGGAGAGCAGCTAGTCTTTTATTTTGTTTAAAATGGGAAAATAATTATGTTCATGTGAAAGGGGAATTTTGTCCTGGTGTGTATTATCTCTTTTGTACATGCTAAAATGGGCAGTACAAATTTAGGACTGAATTTTGTTTCATTGTTTACAGTAAAAAATTGTTGTTTTTTATTTATTTATTAAAAAGGGGTAAAGGGCGGGTTGCTTCTCCCTTTTGTGTTTTTTAAAGGGGGAAAAAGGGACTCTATATATTGGCGTGGTATGTACGTATGTATGTGTAATGTGTACTAGGGAGTGGTAGGGCGATAACGCGAAGCATAAAAAAAAAGGGTTGGACTGAAAATTCGAGGATTTTCAATTTAAAACGTTGTACACGTGAGGACATGTATGCATATTCGTATGTGGGCACAGTTATGCGACTGGGGGCAAAAATTAAGGCCGCGTTTCAATTCAAAATGGCCGGCGCATGATTGGCCTTGTAACTTGGCAATCTCTCAGCATGCCGTACTCGCGCTTCGATGGCACTTCAATTTGGTTTAATTTCTTAAAATGAAGCGAATTGAAGTGAAGTCAAATTTAATTACACCGAATTTGGCTTGCATTAAGCTACACTGGATCAAACCGATATGCATTAAATAAAATTAAATTAAACCAAATTAATACAACTGAATCGAATTAAGTAATATTTAAGCAGTACTAAGTAAAATTAAATTGTTAAAAAAGGTGAGGTTTTTTTTTTTTTTTTGCACTTCAGAACTTGCACGCTCTTCAAATTATAATTTTCGCTCCTTGCATGTTTTTAAAATGCGCGATTTTTTTTTTTTTTTTTAATTTACTCCTACCATCACTGAGCTACTTCGAATTTTTTAATCTTCAAAAGGTGAACATATGCATATGTAGGTGGGAATTATACGCGTGTATATTTGGATACCGGCATATTTGTATGTATATATAAGCACATATCTATGCATATATATGCTGACGTGCGCGGAAATATGCGCACGCAAAGTGCTTGTAGCAGGCGCGGTGTGGGAGCCTTTTGCCCTTTCGCGCGCATAAAACATGCCTAGATGCATGCTTACTGCATGCGTATACGCGTGGGCAAAGTAAAACGAATGTGTGCTCTTCGCACACACATATGTACTCTGCGCACATACGCGACGATTCTACAAAGTGATATGGCCCGTACGGAGCCAAGTTCACTCAAGCCATTTTTCCTACTCCTGCGCGCGCGTGTGCGTGTAAATACCAGCGTGCGAATGCATAACGCTTTTTTGCACAGATAGGCACCATTGGAAAAAACTTACCATTTCTTTTTTCTTTAACACGTCCTGATTTAGCAGCTTTATGTCTTGCTTCAACATTTCCACGGTGGACAAACTTCTTTTATTCTTTAACTTGTACGCATCGTTTATTTGATTCATTTTTAGTAGCATCTTTTTGTAGGATACCTCCTTCGCCTTCTTTTCCTGCAACGCATTTCTACGACAAAAAAAAAAGAGTGAGAGACATGAATAAGGAAAGAAAGGAGGGTATCAATCTTGCGCGCGCGTGAACACCTGAGAGGCGGCTAATCTGCGAAAAGGAGAAACCCTGATTTTACTTAAGTTCGTTTATGTAGCATTCCTTGTCGCTAATGAGGGCGTTATATTTGCTGGATTCCTTCTGGTAGAAATTCTCCTTCAACTTGTAGTTGTTTCTCATTTCGTTAAAGCTGAAGGAAAGGATGAAATGGGGAAAGCAGTTCGTCCATTTTGTGAACTGAAAGGGTTCCACATGCGGAGAATAGGGATTTTTTTTTATGTTTTCAAATGACGTTTGCCATTCCGAGTAGCGCAGTGTACGCCGCGGGTTTATATAATAAAAGTGCGCGAGGTGAAGACGCATATATTGTCCCCATCTCCGCCTCGATTGTGCGTTTGTGGGTGAACACGTGAATACACTCTCAGCCACACGTTAGACAACTGTACATGAGCAGGTCCATGAGAGCTGCCCCATCTGACCCAATTATGTTTACTAGGTGGGGTGCACAAAAAAAGTGAGGAAAAAGAGAGGCATTGTACCACCTCCCCTAACGCATGTACATACTCGCATGTGCTTACAAATTGTGCAGGAGACCCCCTATAAACTCATTTTTTTTAAGGATGCTTCTGTTGTACTCCTCCTTTATTTTGCTTATTTCTTTGTATAACGTGATTAGCTCGCTGCTAATGACACTTTTCATCGTCTTCTGAGTGTTTAATTCGGTCCCCTCTGAGTTTCGCTGCAACGCAAAAGGAGGAAATGTGCACATGCGGGTAGGCACATAAGTACACACACACATATACACGCACGTTTGCCATTTATACGTGCACATATGGGGGAGCGTCCCAATAATGTGTTTTAAACGTGGCTATATATGTTAGGGATTTCACTTATATTTTAAAATACAAATCAGAATGCTGTGGGATGCATTCTCCGTCCTGCCACCCATCGAATGCTGCCAAGTTTGCACTTTGTGCAGGATAAGTATGGCCTTTTTGTCCTCAGTTGTCTACTTATTTTAATCCCCTTTCGCCAACATATTTAAGCGTCACCTTGCATTTGGCACATAAGGGTAGACAACTCAATCGATGCAACTACGTTTAGGGGCATTAGTACTTCTGCACCCAGTGGCTCGTCTGCACCATTGCGTTACGTTGGATTGCTCCGGTATTCCCTCGTACGCTCTGCTGCGCGATCTTTTGGTACATACCTTACTCTGCTCAGGCGCAGGGCCTGAAATCCCGATTGGCTGCTTCAAAGAACCCATGGTCATGTTACCCGAATCACCATATAGGGCAGAAAAACCACTTTGCCCATTTATCTCGTCCTCCACATTACCCGTATTACAAGGAGAATCCCCCATTTTTGAATTATCCCCCAAGTTGCTCGCCTCTTGTGTAGCATCTCCCTTCCAGTTAGCTTCACCTTGTTGCTTTCCCAGTTGGGTCTTTAATGAGCAAATTTCTGCGTCTCTACTTTCTAGCAAAAGTTTGTACTTGGCAATTTCATCCAAACAGTTGTTTAGGTTCTTTTTTATTGTGTCTATGTTGTCACCTTGTGGAGAAGCTCCACACGGGTTGAAAATGCTGTCGTTGATGTTTTTGCCCTGTGAAGAATTGATACCTTCCAAACGCGTGCTATCCCCATTTTGTAGCGATTCGTTTAATTCAGCTTCGTCCTGCGGTTGGTTGGTCCCCTTGTGATCGCTCTCAGGTTGAGTTATTCCCACGTGATCATCCGTTTTATGATTTGCAACTCCTTCATTAGAGCCATTTCCGGAATCTGCTGGCTCGACATGCTGCTTTGAATTTTCGCCTAAATTATTCATTTCTTCTGCTTCGTAGAAGAGCAAGTTGGTTTTCTTTGAAGAGACATTTTGCTGTCCTGCCCGTTTTGTATTGTCTCCTTCTTTTTTCATGCCTAGTAGGTGTAATTCTTTCTTTTTTAGTTCCTCTTCCCATATATGTAGTGCCTCGGTTTTGCTCGAAATATCATCCCTTAAGATACCAAGTTTGTTCATCTCCTGGGCAATTTGTTCTTTTTCCTCATTGAGCTTTTGCTCTCTACTTAAAAGGGCCTTTTCCCTTTCCTCAATTTCATTTTTCATCATTAGCATGTTCTTATCATTTAGCACAAGTTTATCACTTTGGGGGGTTCCACCACATATTGGCGATATGTTACTGCCCCTCCTGGAATCTTCTTTCTGAGAAAATTTCGAGTTCCCTAAATAAGACAAAACACTGCTTCTTCTGGCATCCCCTTCGATGTTCGTATCCTTCGGGCTTGTTTCCTTTTCAACAATTCGTGTTGACGCATTTTCTAAATGGAGTGTGCCATGCTTACCCGTGATAGCCTCTCCAGTGGGTGTATAACTGGTGTTATCATGAGGCATATATAATGTATTGCTCTCTTCATTTTCTCTTTTGTTGTGGTCATCCCCGCTGTCATGTTGCTGATTTGTATTATCGTTGCTTATGCCATGCTCGGTCCCGTTAGACTTCATTATGGTGCTTTGCTTCTCGTTTAGCAGCAAATTTGTTTGGTCCACTTCCTTCTGTCTCTGGCGCAGTGTGTTTTCTGCCTCCTCCAGACTCTTCTTCCTTTCACTCAATAATTTGTTGAGCTCATCCAGCTCCATCTTTTTTTCCTTTATCAAATCATTGTGTTCATCCACCTCTCTTTTAGTGTTATCTAGCATGGACCTTTCCTCCTCCATTTCCTTTTTCCTCCGATGTAGTATGTCTTGCTGTTCTTCCAATTGTCTATTTTGTTTGCTTACCTCCTCTTTTGCAAGCTCGATCTCCTTTTTCTTGTTTTCTATATCGCCCTTTTCCTTTTCAATTTCCCCCCTCTTCACCTGGATGTCGCACATGTCTTTCTCTATTTCCCTTTTGCTGTCCTCGTTCATTTCCTTCATCCTGGTGAGCTTCACATTTTCGTCGACGATCCTCTTCGATGAGTCCTCCAATTTTTTTTCCTCCAATTTGATAAATGACTGACTCTGATAAAATTTCTTAAAAAAATTATCTTCTTCGTCTGCGCTACTTTTGGACATATTAATTTCCTTGGTGATATCTTCTTCCCTTTTCTTCTTCAACAGATCGTATTTTTGTTTCAATTCATCATATTGCAACTCCAATTTTATATTTTTCTCCTTCTCGCTTTTTACCATTCCTTTTAAATATTCCACAGCATCTTCCTGTTCGCTTACATTTTGGAAGATGCTTGCATTTTTTACTTTAAGTGAGAGGTCATTTCCCATGCCGTCCATTTTGGTCATATCGTTCCTCCCACCTTCGAACTGTTGTAGGCTGTTCAGGTGCAACATACTCTGCACACCGGCGTGGCTCTGGTATTCGCCGGTGAAGCAGCTTCCTGGGTTCTCATTTCCTGTAGGCCCCACCCCACTGTTGTACGAGGCCAAAGCAGCATAGAGGTTCTTCCGCTTGTTGGCAGATTCGTGCATGTCTATAATGCGCTTATACATGTCCTGTGGATTTAACTCGTTAGCAACCCTACTGGGGCTGTACACACTTCTCCTCTCCCCCGAAGGCAAGTACCTATTGATAAAATTGTAAAATTCGTTCTTAATATTTTCCAAGCACCTCTGTCTAACCTCCGTCTCGATGCTAAAGAAAAACTTCTTTGTATAATCATCCACCATGATAAATTCATTTAATAAATTAAACAGGTCGTGAAAAATTATCCTATAAAAATTGTCCTGTTTTATTGCGTTGCGTTTCACATTTTCAATAATATTTCTATACGATGAGTCTAGCAAGCTTGTTATATAATCATTTTTGTTTTTAAGTATTTCTTTTATGTTTTGTAAGTTCAAATGCAACTTAAAAACTATGTCCTTAATGCTGAGGAAAAAATTGTTTTTCACTTGTTCACTCCTTGTGCTTAATGTTTGATACGTCATCGTTTTTCTCCCTCTGTCCATGCATGGATTAAACGCTTGTACATCTTCAAAAATGTTTTGGTTTTTGTCTTTATTTATATTTTCCCTATTTTGTCCTTCATACATGTTAGGATAGTATTCCTTCTTGTCGCTTTGCATGTAGTTTTTATCTGCTCTGTAATTTTTATCAATCGGCTCACTGCTCTCCATTCTGTTTCTCGCCCCTACGAACTTTTGAGTCGAGAATTCCCTCTTCCCCTTTTGGATATATTTTTTCCTCTTTTCCTCGCAATAACTGTCACTCAGAGTCGTGGACTGTTGTTTGGCGCATTTTTTCTTCTTCCTCTTGATGGGTTTGCTTCCTTCCTTGTGTTTTCCCCTTCCACTGCGTTTGTTTGTGTGCGCACGTCGATTGTAGCCGTTCAACTGATCCTCCGATTGGCTTCCACCGTCGCTTTGGCTATCACTTCGTTCATCACTGTGTTCATCGCTTTCGTAATCACTATGCCCATCGCTATCGCTTTCGTCTTCATACTCGTCCTCCCCGTCACTCCTCGCTGCCTTCCTTTTGTCCCCCCGGACGACGATTCTCTTCGAGTACCCATCGTCGTATATTATTTTTATGTTCTTATTTTTATACTTCGTCTGGACTTCATTAATGTTTATATCAACCTTTTTATTATTTGGGGCGCTGTCCACACTATGCTCACTATTCGAGTGGTAACTTCCACAGGTTAGGCTTCTCCTATGTTTGTTCTTCTTATTTTTCGAATCATTTTTCTTGTCCTTTGTTGAGTTTTTCCTCCTCATGCGATTTTCTTCTTCCGATTCATCTGAGCTTTTATTTGCTGTTAACCTGTACAGTTTGTCAGCCAGTTTGATATTATTTACTATGTCTTTTTTGTAATTGGGGACCAGTACTGATAAGCTTCGTCTTTTATTATTTTTTTTCTTTGCATTTTTGTACTTGTTCTTATTTGTGCTGTTCTTGTTGTTATTTTCTTCATCCGAGTCTAGCTTAACAACATAATGGATTTCTTTATTTCCGATTTTACCTGGTCCGTGTTGCTCTCTTCTACCTTCTTTTTTTTTGGAGCTTTTTGAATTCTCCTTCGTGCGCTTTCTCTAATCATGTGAAATGTACAAAAAATAAGATAATATGAAATAAAAAAAATGAATTCACCACATGATGAGTGCTGTACTTTTACGATAGAACAGCTCGAAACGGATGCTCGATTGGATGATACTTTTTACCGTGCTCATTTTGCCCTACGGGGAAGAACTTCCTAGCAGTTCATGTGTGATCCTCCACTGCAGGCACTACAAACGCGGATATGGTAACGCCCCTTGTGAATGACCCAACAGTCCTAATTCAAGACGACACATGGAACGTAAGGTGGACAAAATGTGCACCTGCTCACTGAACACGCCTTCGCAGCATGCACTGTACTTTTCTTTACTTTTCAATGCCCGTTTTTTATCTGCCCTTCAGTTTGCCTTCCAGTGCGTGGGAGAAAACGTCGGCAAAAATGGAGCAGACAGGGAGCACAAACGCGAAGAAGAGGCGAAAAACACCAAGCAGACAAAAAATAAAAAAGAAAAAAAGTAGCTGCTACACCAATTTGATGTTATAGCCCTCAACATTTCACCATTGTGTAGTTTTTGCCGAACGGGGGGGATTCCTATAGGGGGGAAGTCGCGCTGAGAATACGCACTTATAGGGGTGATAAGATAACTGCTTCCTCTTAAATGGCAAATGTGTTATTAAAGCGGGTTTGCTATGCGCACGGGGCGCCTTAAAAAAAAAAAAAAAAAAAAAAAAAAAAAAAAAAAAGCATCACCTTGTCCAAAAAATTGACGCATAATTTACGGAAACACTTGCCCCCAATTAAGCGGCTATGCAGACAAAACGAAAAACAAAAAATGAACATCCTTTTGGCTTCCTTCAAAGCTCATGTAAAACACATATCGGTAATTGCGTAACTGCCGCGGGCCCACTACACATGTAAAACACTTGCTAAAATGTGCGCTTCTTCTTGTACGTTTTTTGTTTTACGCATTGCTCTCGTATATTTTCTTGTGCTTCTCCAGGTAGGACACGGTGCCCATGTGCTTCATTCTGCGAGAGGGAAAAAAAAAAAAAAAACATGTGAGATATACAAAAAAGCAGGAATGTGTGGGTAGTGTGAATTTCCTCTGAAACCCAGACAATGCTCCTCCATTGTGAATTGCTTAGGGTTAGACAAAATTAGCCAATTGCGGACGCGATGGCACTTATTTTATGAACATATACCGAGATAGAGTCCTCATTGAGGCAAACGCATTTTCCTGATTGGTGTCAATCTCATTTTCGCTGCAAAGGGAAATTGTCACCGTGACAATGTACATACAGATCATCACAAGAGTAGAAAGGTATCAGTGGAGACATGCTTCTTTACACTTGTGCGACGGAGAGGATCCTCCGCGGAGAAACTCGTTTGGATTACTCGAATAGCAAGTAGGGGATTGGCTCCTGTTTTACATCCTTATCCTCCAAATATTTCAGGTGCTTCTTCACGTCAACCTCGTAATTGGTGATGTGGAAGGCCAAGACGTTTCTGCATCAAACGCGGGGAGGCGTGAAACACGTACAAAATGAGCAACCACCGAACTGTTTCGGGAATGACATGTAGATGCGCACATTTGGGGGGCGCACTTTATTGCTATTGGTAATGCTCCGGTTTGCTGCTCTCACATGGCGATGTAAAAATGCACACCTTAAATATTCCATGGGAATGTACTCCTTATTGATGTTAAAATTTATGGCGTCGAACAATTTAATGCCGATTCTGCAAAGGGGAGAAGGAGGAATGCACATCGGTGGTAATGTGTTGTGGACAATTGTGATACATCGGTCTGCGCACCATACAATGAAACATATTAAAATGTAAAACGCGAAAAAAAAAAAAAAAAAAAAAAAAAACTTACTCTTGGTCCATGTGAAATTGAGAGACCATTTTTGTAAATAATTCCCTGTTGAAACACCCCGACTTGAGATGCACACTGGAATCATCTTTGAAGCTGTTAAAGCTGTTATATTTTTTTTTCATTCTTTCCATGAGGGTGTGGAAATGCGAGATAATGGAAGGTATTTGGAAAATTTGAAAAATGGGCACATCACTAAAAAAGAAAACTTTTGTGTTTTTTTCGTAGAGAATATCTATGAGCAAAATAAATCTTCTCATTTCATTTCCTTTACTTTCTTCATTCATTTTCTCAATGTCATAAATAAATAATGTGTGACTCTCATTCGATATAGCATTGAATTCGTCTATGCTGATATTCTTCCCGCATATTTCATTGAAGGAAAATATGGCATACTTATATAAGCTGTATGGAATGACACAAGTTTTGAATTCAGAGACGGCGATTTCTTTAGAATATTTCTCTACCTGTCTAACGTGATTGATATCCTTTTTGCTCACTTGGCAATACATATCATTACACATTTTTTTAATTTCTTCAAATTTTTTTGTTGGTATGCTATAAATATGATTATCCACGTTGTTATTTCGAAGTCTAAAATCGTGATAGTTGTCAATTTCGAAAATGTAATTAAATTTGTACAGTAGCTTTATGAAGGGAATGAATCGTTCCCTATTCAGCCCATTGTGATACAAATACTTAGGGTTCCTATTGGAAGAACACAACAAAACCGTGCCTTGATAGAACAAATGATTAAAGAGAGAATTAATCACCATTGCGTCGGTTATGTGTACCACCTGAAATTCGTCAATAAAAATTAATTTATATTTTTTACTCATTTTTATGGAGATACTTTTAATCGCATCTTCTGAATTTTTCATTTTTTCTTCGTGAAAACTTTTGTGTATTTCTTGCATGAAATTATGATAATGAATTTTTAGCTTCCCTAATTTGATTCTGTCAAATAGTAGGTTCAAGAAATAGGTCTTCCCTCTCCCTACACTCCCGTACACATACAGTCCTCTGATGTACTTAATGTTGTCCTCATCAACTAAAGAGTATATGTCTTGGAGGTAATACTCCTCACTCTCTATACTGTTATAATTTAGTCTTGTTCCCTTCTCCTTTGTATTTTTTCCATCCTCATAGATGAAGAAATTGTCGTCGTTTTGGTAATTCTCCAGCGCTTCTTCATCTTCCACTTGTGTAGTTTCTGCTTCCTTTGCGAGTTTGCTGCTCCCTTCTTCACTCCTCCCTTGTGCCTTTTTCTTCATCCCGAAAAATGAGCTAAAGAACTTTTTCCTTGGAACTTCCCCCCTAGCGAGCTTTTTCTCAACATTGTCGTAAAGGCCATTTAGGTTATTCTCCAGGGCCTGCACGTGTTTGTGTTAAGAAGTGGACACGTCGTAGTGAGTTCACTATGCCCATGGAGCAGTTGGAAATACCGTGTGGAACAATTGTATGTGGGTGTTGTGCTAACTGCGCATAAGAGTAAATACCACACTCCTTACACCCACAGACACGTGGGTAGCTGCAACCCTACGATTCCACCCATCTCTATTCATACCTGTAGAATCAGAACAAATTTGTACTGAAAGGGATCCCTTTCAATTTTGTTCGTTTTTACCAAATCGTGATACAGCTGAATAAAGCCCGTGTTGCCACTACCCGTGACGTCATTTTCGGCTAGCTTTTTCTGTTCACTGTTGAATAATGAGATTTGTGCCTGCTGCTGGAATTTTAGAAGCTTCCCTCTGTAGCGGCTGATTGTGGCTCTAACTTGCGGGAGGCTCTTTATACCTCCCCTTGAGTTTACCAACACATTCATTCTGGCACAGGTATAATTATGCTTTTCTTCCCTAATGGAGGTAAAGGAAAGATGCACCTTATGACTCCTCACCAGCTGCAGCCCCCATAACAGTAATATCACACATAACGTGCTTTAATAACACTCACATGGAATGTGCTAAATGTTTTCCAAAGTGGCCCGAAAAATGGAAACTCAAATGTGTAAATGCCCCTTTTTGACATCACCTCACATGCTGCTGGTTGGCCAATTTTTTTTTTTCATTTTCCCAAGGTGAAACGAAACACACATTTCAAAATTGTAAAATTGATTAAACATATTTTGTGTAGGCGGGTCCAGCAGAAAAGGGGAAAAAATATGGAGGAAATATAAATAGAGCACTTTGCGAGGTGAGAAAAAGGACCCCCACAAAAAAAAAAAAAAATTACATATGAACTTACGTGCGTACTTACACACTTTTGGGAAACAATTGCTGTGCCTCCCTCCTGGCATCCACGTTTGTGAGTTCCAGCCACGGGGCAGATGAAGAGTCATAAACATAAAATGCAGAATTGCGCAAAGTACCTTTTATACAAGAAAGGGCCATTTTGGTCATGTAATGTACCAACGTGTAGGTGCGTAAATCTATGAGGCAATGCTGCCGTGGCAGGAGAAATTGAAGAGCACAACGGGGAAAACAAAGGGCGCGCCCTGCAGAATATTCCTGCTCACTCATGGGTCCACCCCTGGTCAAGCTTAACAATCAACAAAAGTTTTAACCCACGAACAGTTTGGCAATAATTGCGTGGCACTTGTTAATTCTCACCTAAAGTGTCCCTTCTAACTGCACATGTTTAAGCTCCCCCGGTTCTACGTGTGCAGATAGAGCAAAGGGGCTACACGAGAACAGTACTGTCGGTAACCTCACGTTGACCTGACGTTGACCCTTATCTCCCTCCCCGTTACACCCCTATGCCTGCGGCGAACGAGTAAATACGCAAGTAGTATGTCTACACAGCGGGGGAGACCAGACCAACACATCTGCCATTCCCCTCACAAAGTAAATTTGGCCGACTCGTAGTACCTGCAGCAGATGTCGCTCTGCAACTTTTTGATATTTTCAATACTTGAGCCAAAGCACCCTATCACGTCGGTATGGAGAGGCTCCGCGAAAATGGTGTTGCCGCTCTGACTTTTGTTTCTGCGGCTTTTGTTCGAAACGGGGTTATTTGTGAGGTAGTTTAGAGGGTCCACCACATTCTCTGCATAGTAGTACTTACAATCAAGTACGTGCATAGGCGTTTCCAGCATGTTGTTGATGGTGTTAATATAATCAGCTTCCTTAATGTAGACTGTGCACCCTTTGTTGTCTTTCAAATTTCTGTTGTAGCAATTGACGCCCCTACTAGGACATGTATGAAACCACACTTTTTCTTCCTCACATTCTGCACTTAAAACAATACATAAGCTGTTTTTTCCATCTCTACCTACTCTCCCAATTTTGTGAAAAAATGAATTTATATTATCAGACAGAGTCATAATTATTAAGTATCTTAAATTTTGTATATCAATACCTCTGGCAGCAACATCTGTACATATTAAAAAGCGCACCTCTCCCTTTTTAAATGCATCAAGGTTATTTTTCCTTTCCATGTTGGACATTTTTCCCTTCAAAATAACACAGGAGTATTTATTTTCCTTCATGGTTTCCACTGTGCCTTTGTAAGCTTTTCCATCTCCAAGGTGATTTAAAAAATTGTACACATTATCGCAATCTAAATTTGTTCGACAAAAAATTATTCCATTTTGCATATTAAAAACATTAATTATGTGAATTAATTTTTTCAATTTGTTAATTTTAATATCCAGGGAAATTTTCTCCTTTTCATTTTTTGAGCAATTCAGTAAATGTACTTTGTCTGTATATTCATAAATCATGTCGTAGTTCATTGCGTGCAGCTTGTCGTTATAAATTATATCATCATACATTTTTCCCTTCTTATTTGCATCTGAGTAGCACAAATTCGCATTTTTATTGTTAACGTAGTAGACGCAAACATATATGTGTGAGGGGATGCTATTTTTCCCATACTTCAAATCTACGAAAATGGGTTTGTTCGTAATTTTGTTAATGCAATCCTTTACGTTTTGGTCCTGTAAAGTGGCTGAGTAGAAGCATGTTTGTATATGCTGACTATGCTTCATACTTGTTTCCTTAATTTGCAAAACGGACTTCTCATCATTATTGATAAGCTCATCCGCTTCATCCAAAATTAGCAGTCTTATATCGTTCAAACTTATTGTGTTTCTCTTTATACATTCCATAAGTTTGAAGCAAGTACACACAAGGATGTTGCTGTACTGCTGCTGATTTCGTTTGTCCTTGTTAGGCTGTTCCCCTCCTACTAGCAGTCCTATGTTTATGGAGGAGCTGCCGAAACTCTCCGCATAACTCAGGTAATTGTTGTAGGTCTGCATGGCTAGGTCTCTAGTAGGGCAGAGAACGATGCAGTACAGCTTTGTCTTATTCGCTGCGTCCACCTTTCCGCTTCCCAAAACGCTCTTAGCAGCAGCAGGGCCACTACCTTGCATCTGCTTGCTCTCGAACTGCGATGCGGTTTGAACCCCCCCGATGTGTCCACCGTAGTATACTTTCCTTGTACAGGAGTTGTCCTCCTGAGCTGAGCACATAACATCATTCAACTCTGCGTAGGACGCATCCGCGTACTTCAAATTTGAAAAATGGAACTTCACATGAAAGTATTTCCCACATATATAGGGGAAAAAAGGCAGATCATTATACTTGTAAAATATTTTAAAAGCATTTCCTAAAAATTTCCCATTTTTTTTAAAAGCAATTACGTTTGTGTTTTTATTTATCAAGCAAGTTATTAAATCACCCGTTGAAAAGACGTCCCCATAATTTTCTCCCCTTCCATTAGTGTACTTGCTTCCATTACTGCAGTAGGTGTAGTTATATTTTAGTGTTTCTTTCACTGAGGGGCAGAATCCCACATTCAGGAAGGACCTTCCCAACACTTCAATTTCGTAAGCGTACATTCCACTCCTTATTTCGCAGCCCACTTTGACTTCTTCGAATGGGCTAGAGTACTCACCATTGCATATGCATTCTCGAAGTGCATTGTTCAGGGTGACTCTCGAACTGTTGCCGCTTATGACTTTTAAGAGGAGTAGACCCTCTTTTTTCACTTCACTGGATATTTCAACGTTATCATTGTCTCTCTTGGTACTGCCACATACAGCTACGCTAGAATTGCTCGACTCGTACGTTCCTATATTTCTAAACAATTCGTGCACTATTTGCAAAGAGGAGACAATGAAACTTAGCGTTTTTCCTGTCCCCGTCTCAGCTGATGCACATACATCTCCCCCTCCTAAAATGAGAGGAATGGACTCCTGCTGAATAGCGGTTGGTAAATCTATTCCGTTTTTTTCTAGCAGTTCGCACAAATTGCCGTGCAGGCCCAGTTCTTCGAAGGCTGACATGGTTCATGCCCTGTAAGTTGCTTTCACAAGGTGAGTATATTTACACACGGTTATGAATAAGCGTCGGCCTATGTTGCACATATACAGTGTAACGTGTAAAAAAAAAAAAAAATGGGTGGATAAAAAAGGGCGAGTGGAACAGCTAAATGATCGTGGAGTCAATTATCCTGGTAAGCAATTCTGAGCATCCCATTATATGACCTTTTATTTTACACGCAAATTAGTAGCCAGCTACATTTGCAACTGTAGCACATCGGGTTAGAGGCAGGCCTATGGGGGAACTCAACCTACCCAAAAGAATTCATACCTAAGTGTACGTATCACGCACTTTTGAACAGAAAACACCGTTTTTCCTGCCAACTCTCTCCTCACCACAAGGGATATTATATAAAAAAATGAATTTCACCCATTGTGAAGTGTTATATTGTGACAGCACTTTGACGATTTTTTTTTTTTTTTTAATTACTACCGTTTCACTGCGACGCCGCGATCATAGGGTAATTTTACAAGTTGATAAAGCGAGCCGACGAATTGTTCCGCACCACATTTTGCGTGCATGTGTAGAGGGTCAAAATATTTATATTGTTCACTCGTTCTTTGCAGCCGCCAGTTCGTTCCTTTTGAGGGCCATTGTCGTGGCCTACGTATGTGCGTGTGTGTATTTATACTTATGTGCACATTTGCCTCCTTTTCCTGAAGCCACAAAAATGGCTCCTAAGACGACGCTTACCTGTATAGTGACAAGCTCTGTGCCGAGGAAAAGAATGTTTGCCTTATTGGTGAACTGAATCGAATGAGTGTGCCTCCATTAGGGATCTTCCCCAGAAACAGGAAAAAAAAAAGAGATTCCGCACAATTGTTGTTTCCTTTTCATCCAGCATTAATCCTTTTACGTGTGATTCTTTCCTCCGTTTTGTCCGGCCGTGGTGCATCTGAAGCGCCCAAAGGAGTAGACAAAACGTGCCTGTGTCAATTGGCTTATTATTTGTTTGTTTGTTTTTTTTTTTTTTTTTTTTTTTTTTTTTATTTTTGTCAACCAAATTTGTCAACGCGAGATGTATTTTCGGATCCCTTCTTTTCGATTAACAAAGCTGTGGCAAATTTTGTAAATGTGTTTTTTCCTCATTGGACGAATTTTACAACTTATCACACATCCCACTGTTGTCCTTTAAAATTGCAAAGCAAAAAAAAAAAAACATTTTACCACAATGGAATGTTTACCCAAACAGGTATTGATGAGGGCAAAAAGTCAGGGCAGAATTGAAGCGAATGTTGATCTGGTTTTTCTGCGCATGCATTCAAAAAAATATATATATATATCTATACTTAAATTACTGTGCAGGACGAAGCGGGGAAGAAATTCTCATCAGGACGGCTGCCTCTTTGCACCATTTTTTTTAGACCTATTTGAGTTACTTTCCTGTGTCTACCAATTGTGGGGGGAACAAATTTGGCACCTATTTTTGTGGTTCACGAACGAAATGGAATTACAAATGCATGAAAAGGGTGCCATAACAACAGCATTAGCGAATTAAAGAAAAAAATAAAATAACACATGTATATATATATGTATATATGAGTGTATATGCATATATATACACATGTGCACATCTACCTAAGGAAAAATTAAAGAAACGCGTTGATGAGCCACCCGTCGTCCTCCTTTTTCTTCTATAAGGAGGATAACTTGCAAATTGCATGAACAGTTGCAAACAGTCCCCATAAAAGAGGTAAGAAGGAAAAAGAAACACATATATGTGTACACATATTCACATATGCGTGTGCGCTCCCGCGTCTTGACTGAACGAACCCCCTGGGCAGCCCGAGTTTTCCAGAGTGACCTCAAAGATGAAGTACAGGAGCTTTAACGATACCTACTCAGAGTGCAGCATAAACGAACAAACGACGTGCTCAAGTGACGAGACCGCTGACACGACTTTGGCGAAAAGGAGGCACAAGGCCGTGCCAACTAAATTGGAAAGCGAAGACTTGTGTGCAATCCCTAACGATATACATGTGCAGCACGATAGAGAGAGAATCCACGAGGGATTATCCGTCCTAGATGATTTCAAAATAATAATTTTCGGGTGCATGGGAATGAGAACGTACAAAATGTTTTGCTACGCTTGAGGGGAAAGACCTCTATGTGTGCGCAAATATATAATGCGCCTCACCAATTATTACATCTTTTTAACCCCACTATTGTATATTATACAGCTTTATATACCTTTTTTTGTTTGTAATACACCCTACATGCATATATACAAGCCTAAACAGGTAGGCGCGTAACATCACTTTGGTGTTTACTCACCTAATTGGCACTACTTGATAAAACCCTTCCTAATTTTTAAAGCGACTGAAAAGGCCCATATTTAAGCGGAACAAATTGTTAACAGGGAAATAAGCGTGCAGCATTCACGCGAAGTTGACAAAACAATAAAAAATAAATAAAATAGTATGCTGCGAACTATTTCGTGGTAAGGACAATAACGACGAAGACATAACCATGGGGAGTTTTTTTTTTTTTTTTTTTAATTTAGCCCCAATTATATTTATTAACACTGTCGTGAATATCGTCGAACAACAGGTTCGGATTTTCATACGTGTCATTTTTCACCAAATAAATGGCATTTTTATCTACCTTTTGGGCATTTATAAAGGTGCCCGTTACATCAACGGTTTGGACTTTGTTGGAATGTAAAGGCAGCTCGGTGTGCTCCTCTGTAGGTATAACACTATGTAACTGATGCCGCTGTCCCTTCTCACTAGCGCCCTTCCCCTGTGAATTATTTTCTCCCTTTCCATTTTTATCTACCTCTTCCCTGTTCAACAAATGTGAGCTGTCCAATCCGTTTAAACTTTCCACTGCGTCAGGACTCCCCAGCAACGGGTCAGGTTTCCCTCTCCTTATCCTTCTATCAATATTTTTAATATTTTTATTTATATTCTTAACATTGTAATTAACAAAATTATCATTTATAATATCGTCGTTCTTTAGGACGCACTGGTCATACGTCCTTTCTTCTTCATTAACAAATTTACTTATTTCATCTGGGCAGATGATGTAATCCTGATCGAATATTTTCTTTTCCAACATGTTTATATCTTCTGTTTTGTTAAGCTTCTTCTTTTGGCCTTCCTTATTTTTTAAGATAATCCAGCAGTGTAGCATCATCCGCTCGGCATCAATTTTGGAGATTTCTCTCGTTGTGGTTTGAAGGAACCGGTCCTGCTGGTCACCCTCACCAAGCACACCTGTTTGTTCTTCACACGAGTTTGGAGTCGAACCAATTTTATATTTATTACTTAGCATGTCCTCAAAGTACGTTTCATCTCCCACAATGCCGCTACCTAAACAAAGGGCATGCAACCTTAGCTGGTGCCTCCTCCCCGTAATTGTCCTAAGCTCACACAAAGTTACCTTCTGATTTTTTAAGTAGCACTGCTTATAAGGATAAATTAAACTGTAACAATATTTCCCATTATCATAGTAATCATTGTAGTTGTAACATAATTTCATTTTAAAATTATTTTTGATTTTACTTATTGGTGTGTTTACATGGAGAACTCCTAGGGGTAGGTGTCCATATAGTATGGCAAGGTATATTTTGCTTATGCGCTTACTTTCTATGTTATAATTCAGGATGTTGCAGCTCAGCTTGTCTTTGGCGATGATTAGAAGGCCGCTGGTGGCGTAGTCCAGCTGCCCGCAAATTCTGTAGGCGTAAAAGGGGGTTCATGGGGAAGTTATCACGTGGAGTTATTACATGAATGCTATCACATAGGATTTATCACGCGGAGTTATGATGTGAAGACGCCCTGTTCACGTGCCACACTCGCAATAAACATGCAAAAGGGAAAAATAAACGGACGCCGCGCTCGTGCCCACCTGAACACATCCAAGTTAGTCTTCTCACGAAGAAGCGTTTCCACGGAGGGGTATATATCGTCGAGCTTCCCCTTCTCCAACTTTATGTCATAAGGCTTATTCACCACCAAGAAGAACTCATTTTCATATACTATACTTAAATCATGACCCTTGTAGCTTTTGTATTCCGGTTGAGGATTAGCAACGGGGGGAGGGTTCTCCCCCATGATGCCTCTGCGTTCCTCTAGCACAACCCCCCTTTTTCTTGTGGACAAAAACTTCCCCTTTTTGGTGAGGTATGAAATGTTATTCTCTTTACACCGACGTGATATGTTGTAAAAAATGTTCCTAAGTAGCATGGTGCATCTTTGTTCGGAAGGACTTTTTTTCTTTTTTTTGGCTAATTTCTCCTAACTTTGCTCGTACATATTTTTGCTACGGGGTGGCAACAAAAAACTTAGAGTAACCGCACTACATATGTTGTAACCTCGGAGAAGGGCCGCTATGAGGAGTGGGGTTTCGGCCTGCCCTGGTAGGTAACACACATGCGAAGCGGGCAGGTGTTTTTCGTACACGTTGCATCTTGCACCCTGCATCATGCTGATTTTTAATTTTTTTTTTTTTTTTTTTTTCCTTTCTCCAAAAGGTGAGCGGCCCCGTTATGCGATAATCACGTAAAAATCCAGAGATAGATACATTTCGCCAATTTGGCGGACGCGCAACAAATTCTGAGCAGTAAAACCTTTGAACGATTAGTCAGAAGTGGCCACAAATAAACCCCAATTGTGTCATTACTGGGCCCAATGCGTGATGCGGTTAACGGGGAAAACCAAACTGTAGCGCGCTGATGACCGAGAGTGTAAAGAAATAAGCATACCGCCAAAGCAGCACTCCGGGTAGGTTTGCGCTAAACGGCACGACACCGTGCCACAGTATGGCATATGCAAATAATAGGGAAGTATTTGTTTTTTTCCTCCAGTTGTGCACACGGAATTAATACAGGGGCAAATGAGAAAGGCTCATAATAAGCGGTACTTCCTACACAGCACAACGTAACGATTATGTTGAAGAGGAGCAAATTGGTTCTTCTGGTACTCACCCTGTTGAACCTTGCAGTGAGTAAAAAGACGAAAAGCTCTTCGCTTTACCATTTCTTGGGTACATTCAATGACCACCTAGCGAGAAATAATGAAGTTCTTCTTACACCGTACAAGCGTAGAAAGAGAGTAGGGGTAACGGGGGTGTCAAAACGTAAGTTTTTAAAATATAAACAAAAGTATGCAAAAAATGTACTCCACGAAAGTATGAATGGAGAACCTCTTAAGGAGGGCAGGGATTCGGCGGGGACAACAGAAGGAAGCGGATCACTACAAGCAGAAGCAACAGACACATCGAAAGAAATACCAACAGAAACAATAAACAGGGAAGACATCAAACCGAATGTGTTCGATTATGACTTTAACGACAAACTTACATCAAAGGATATCATTTCGGAAAAAATGGAAAACCAAAAAAATGAAGTAATAAAAAAATTAAAAATGCCCATAATAGGAACACAGCTAAAACCATCAGGAGGATTCACCAAGGAGATATTGCAAATCATACGAGACAGTAATGACTACATAAATGTAGTTAATGAAGAAATAATAAAAGATAAGATAGACCAAAAACTGAGCGGAAATGACCTCTCCTTTTTTGACACAGAAAAAACGTTGGAGGAGCATGAAGTAAAGTACCTAAAAAAGGTGTATGACAATAATCACGTTTTGAACATTTTCAATTTCCTGCTCGTGTGGAAAGAAAAGAAAAATCTTGACCTATCCGTTTTCGTGTCGAAAATAACAGAACAGTCAAATCTGCTCCCAGGGGAAAGGACAGTAATTAAATTTTCCGAAATTGAGAAAGTTCAATTTTTGAAAAAAATTAAAACAAACAGAAATGTCTGTGTTGCTATGATTTTCGTGGATAATAAAGGGAAGAATCCAAACGAAGCTGCCATAAGCCATAATATGTTTCCGATAGGTATTATGGCACACCCACTAGATTTGTCCCTCCTGGATAAGAGTGGAGAAATATCAGTGCTAAATTTGTACAGATTTAAAATAAACAGCTATAATGTCACCAGTACGGACTTCCTTGTAAATGCGGAGCTTTTTGTCGACAATAATAAACACCTGAACAATTTCGAACTCACACAAGAGAACAAAAAAATCATCATGAATTTGTATGATAAAATATTGGAACTGAAAATAAAATACACGGAAAAAATGGGAGACACGAAAGAAAATGAAAAATTTAGACATTTGGAAAAAATTACTGATAGGATTGATGAATACGTCAACGTTCTTAATGTTAATAAATCCATCGATTTTCGAAACAAGGAACTGAATTTTTTCACCTCTTTATATTTGGAGTACTTTTCCTTCTTGGCGATGGATATTCACGCCACCATACCCACCAAGCTGCAGATGATGTACACGGATAACACGGAGCTGCGCCTGGACAACGTCAAGCAGTTTTTGATGCAGATATATGACGACCTGAAGCTTAAGTTGAGGGGTTTGTGAGGTGTGCGCAGCTAAGCGAAGTTATGTGATGGGAAGGTGGTCCCCCTCAAGTGGGTATCACCTTGGAGTGGATTTGCCCGATCGGCGTACGCGCAGAGCGAGATATAGACCCATTGCGGAGTTGCACAAACGCTACTGCTACATTTCACGCGGTTCATTTCGCCCCGGTAAAACTGCAGTACCTCGAGAATTACTTCCCAAACATTTATTTATTTATTTTTTTGCATTTTCTCGGACATGCGCCTATTGTTAACTTTCATTCGATCAGCAAGTGGTTAAACATTTTTATGTCACCAGCTTAAAAATGCGTAGGAGCCGATAAAACTAGACATGCTTTCTTCATCACATTGGAGAGACGTGTTTACAATTACTCATCCTTTGAGTTACATTTAAAATGTTTTTTTTTTTTTTTTTTTTCTACCTTTGTGCTTATAACATTTGTGATTTTTTTTTTTTTTTTTGTATGTGCAATTTGTATTATAACTCGGTCAATGTTGGGCGGTGTGTTTAATTCGCGCCTGTGGGAAATGAAATTAAAAAATGTGTCAAAAGGTGACAAAACATGAGGAACAAAAGGGCAAGTAAAAGCTAAATGAACGCAATGGATATGCTTTCCCCTAATGAATTTCCGCTTAACTTTTTAAGAAGCCTGTTCATTTTGTACGTAGGGACAATTTTCACCTTTTAAGTAAATTCTCTCTGGACGTACTTGCTCTTTTTTTTTTCTTTATTTTTTTGATTATTTTATTTTTTTGCTATACCATTTTGTACGTCCAAATATAACTGTTTGGTTCACACAGAATATCGTGCAAGTGAAAACCCCTCCCTTTCTATGAAACACAGGGAATCTTTTCTTAGTCGCGGAAATGATAACATGTTGCTGCTTATCGGCTCAGATGATTCACTTGTCAATTCTGTTTCGACCTTATATGCGCCATGAGCAGGTGCAGCCTCTTGCGGTTTTTACAAAAAACGGGAACGCAATAATTCGCATAACATATACCTATACCTGCATTCCTTCCGAACCCAGCAGTGTAGCCCATGTCCTTCCACGAACCGGTCGTTATTCACCACTCAGGAGCAGTCGTCGCCCTGATTGGAGAACAATCATTCTTCACTTACATACGTAGATGCTTAAATGACGCCGAACGGGGATTTGCACGTACAGATAAAATAGCACATCTATTATATGCTTTTGCAAAATGTACCGAATCGCATCATGCGCATGTATAGCAGGTCTGGTAACTGTAGTTCTTTTATATTTGCTTACTTGCAGCGCTAGTGAAGCTCCTCCTTCTTCCTGATGTTATCCTTCTTTTCCGCTTTGTATCCTTTCTTCTTCCCTCTTTATGATGCATGCATTCTGCTCCTTTTGAATCTCCCTCTTTTTCTTTTTTCTTCCCCCTCCCTCTTTCATTCTTTTCATTGGTTTTTTCCGTTACACCGCTGCTCCGCCCCTTTGTTATGTTCTTTGTGCTTTCCAAATGGACAAAAAGAATCAAAAGAAGAAAAAATGCAAAGGGAGAAAAAAGGGAAATAATTCCTCATCTAATGTATGTGGCAACCATGACGATGATTTGAATGAGGAGAAGGAAGCAGATGGAAGAAGGGGACTCAACATAAATGATCCGAATGAGGATAACCCTGTCCCTCTAAATGTTCAAGTTAGCGACACTCATAAGGCGGGAGAAGAGACGGGTGACATTACACCTACTGGGCAAACTGCGCAAAAGGGCCAAAGTCCTACCAGTAGGGATGAAGCAGATAGAGAGGAAGACAAAAAGGGGAACACCCCCGATGGGGTGACCAACAAGGCGATGGACAATGCGAAGGGCACAAAGAGAAAGAAAAAGAAAAACGCGCCTGTGACGAATATTTCCAACGAAGGAGCAAGCGAAAGTGCCAAATTCAAGTCTGCACATGACGATGTGGACGATTTTCTTATGCCGAGTGGTGAACAAGGCGCGGAAGAACAAATGAGCAGCCTCTTTCCCAACATCGACGTAGATGCTATGTACTCCTTGCTTGCAGAAAAGGGAGATAACCAAAATGAATTTTTAAGGGACCTAAATAAAGAAATCGAAAAATTAAAAAAAAAATTTAACGATGATAATGTGCTGTCAAGTGTGCACAGAGACAGACACAACTTTAGTAGTAACTACTCCATCAAGAGAGATGGACAGAGGAGGGGACCACAGCAGCTCATAGTGCGAGGTGAAGCGGCAAATGCTCCGAATAACAAAAATGGTAATCATAACTCCATTGACAAATGTAATGTGCGCCCCAGGTACACCCCTACCGAAAAAGAAAACTACAACTTTTACGATATGCTAATGAGGGGACACCTTTTTTTAAGACTAAAAAGAAAAATTAAAAAAAAAAAAAACAAAAAATTTAAAATCAGAACTAAGCATTACCAAGTGGTGAGTGACTTGTGTGCCATGAGAACTGAAGGAGGAACCATATCGAAGAAAAAGCGGAGGTACTATATATTCAATTATAACTGCGGGAACACCAAAATTCAGTCCATCACGGGCTACATCCGCTGCTTCAAGGGCTACCATCTGTATAGGGAGAACAGTAGTAACTCTGCCACTGGTAGCGGAACGAACAGCAGCCTCCGCAGCAACGTTCGCAACAGTCCCCGCGGCAGCCAGAACCACAGTGTTAATGGGAGCCATGACAGTTACAATATCGAGAGGACGCTAAGCGAGGAACGTTACACCCCAGGTGAAATGGCCATATCGGTTCTGCTTTGTGTCAACGTGTCCAACTGTTTATCCCCCTCGGAGTTCCTTGAGCTCCTACACCCCTTTGACAATTTCATATTTTTTTTAAAAGTTTTAAACAAAAAAAACAATGAAGAGTACATGATCTACTTTCTAACGTTCGATGTGTATGCAAAGAAAATTATGAAAAAGGTGAAGAGGATTAGTATTTTTAATATGAAAAAAAAGAAAAGATTAAAAGTTTACATCGTGAAGGACATCACCATGAATGCCACGTCCAGGATAAAGAAGAACACGCAACGGATGGTACGCGTGAAGACGTTTTACGAGGAGGGGGGAGTGGGCCATGCGGATGGGAAGACTAACGGGAAGGGGAACCAGAAGGAAGAGCATAGCTTGCCGCACACACATGAGAAGAACATCCCACCGTCGCGCAGAAGCAGATTTATCAACGCCCTTTACCTTATTTCGCAAAACAAATTACAGCTCTCCTGTGCAGTTTGCCTAGAGCCGCTGTACTCGGACAGCCTCAGTAAGGTAGTATCGCACATTTTTAATTTAAACATTGGAACGCAAAAAAGGAGGGAAACCAAGGTAAAGGACCTATCCTCACCGAACCAGGACAGTGAAAAAGGCGATGGCATTTGCGATAGCAATGTCGCTGAATGCGCTGTTGTGGTTCCCGCTGCTAACACCAGCACTGCCATTTTTGGCGAAACGTATTACAGGCAGCATGAGCCAAGCGGAAAAATAAGTCGGAGCAATAGCAGTTCACGCAGCAATACACGGAGGAGCGTGCGTGTGTATGAAACGACAACGTTGGGAACGCAAAGGAAGAAGCGCCAGTATTATTGCGTTAAGACGTTGAGTAGTTACACCGCTGAGGACCGGAAGAGCTACTACTTATCCGTTATCTCCTTTATCCATAATATACAAAAAAAGTATAACAATCAAGTGAAGAAAAAAAAAAAAAAAAGTGAAAGGAAAACAATTTTTAATAACGTTTGCATTAACATCCTATGCGGTCACATATTCCATTCCAGTTGTCTTAAAAAATGTTGTTTCACATCTTGTCCCATCTGCCGATATAAACAGTACAATTATCAGATAGCTAATTGTGATGTATGTGAAAAAAACCAAAATGCAAAAATTTGTTTATTTTGTGGCTTTATTGGATGTTCTGTAAATTATGATCGCTTGAACAAACTCAAGGAGCTAAAGATAAATGAAAAAAAAAAACTCCTCAGAAAAAAAAAAAAATTGATTGCATATATTAAGTACACCTTTTTTCGAATGGTAAATTTTTTTATAAAGAAGGGAAACTACATTGTTGTGCCTTCGTTTGTACCGGCAAGTATAGATCATCAGGGGGTTTGTGCCCAGTCCATAGAGGTGGAAATCAAAAGAACTAATACGAATGAACGCATATGTAGTGCCATTTTTGAAGGCGAGCAAAATGGACACATGTGCGTCCTAGGGGGGGAAAGTACCCTTTCCAATGTCAACGAAAACTGTGCAAGTATCAACAGGGAGGTAGTATCAAACCATTTCACAGTGTCGAGTGAGGTAACGCCAAGTGAAGCAGAAAATGTAAATAAAATTAATGAAGCCCTCGCTAGTTCAACAAAAAATGATGTAATCCACGCCCATTTGCAAATAAGTAGTGAAAGCCGTAAGGATGCTAATTCTGAGATACACATGTGTGCCGGAAAAAAAAATGTCGTCGAAAGGCTGGACTTCTCTACAGACCACACTACGTGTGGGAGACATAGGGGGCACTTGGCGAGGCATCGTTTGCTCAGTTTTTTTTTCCGATTTAGAAAAATGGTGAGGTTAGACAGTAAGAAAGGAAAAGGTACCAAACGCTGGTGGAGGCATATAAAAGGTGAAAACAAAATGGGCGCAGGGAAAACCAACCAGGTAAACGCTAGACATGAAAAGAATCGCCATAAGGGGGGTAGAATAAGTGGAGTTAGAAATAGACGACCTGGGGCGCGTGAAAATAGCGGACGAGCCGAGCGCGCAAGGGGCTCCATCAACAAGTACGACATCTTTACGAGAACCATGAAAATCCACAAGAATTCCCTTGAGAAAAGAACAAAGAAAAAACTCAAGGACCACGCAAAAGAACATTTTTGCGAAACCATGCACAACTACTTCTTCGACATTTCCAAAAATTCAGTGTTCGATTACAGCAGCAACTTGTATATAAGAAAATTAATAAATTTAAAAAGTGGAAAAAAAAATTTGAAAAAAATTTACTCAACAAATATAAACATCAATGGAAAAGGAGAAATCATAGACAAAAAAAATATCATCATGTACATTTACGAATTTAATCAATTGTTAAGTGCGTTGTTGGAAAGTCAGCGAGACCATTTCATGTCCTGTATTTATGACTTGAAAATAAATTATGAAAATGCGAACAAGGACAACTCCAGGGAAGCGAGCAAATGTTTGAATGAGTTAAAAACGGCACAAGAAAGAAACAAACAGTTGAAAGTCCAAATTCAAAAAAAAATTAGCCTGCTTCACGAGAAGGACAAAACAAATGCGGAACTGCTGCAGCAGCTCAGGAACGTCGAAATTGTAAACGCAAAATTGTGTAAAGATCAGAAGCAAGAAATTCATAACCAGGAGGCTATGGCCGAGGAGAAGAAAAAAATAATACAGGAGAAGCAGCTACTTATACGCCAGCTAAACCAGCAGGTATGCAGTTAGGGCGGCACACGTATGTGTGTATGTGTGTGGGTTGAGTGGACTCCCCCTCATGCGCGTCCCAAGTGTGTTGGTGCGTTTCTACATTTTGTATATTAATATGTTCCCACTTTGGCGGCCCCCCTCTTTGCAGATCAACGATTTATCCTTCCACAAGCAAGTAGCGGCCAAATTCTCTCAAGATTCTGGAATGACGGTAAGGCGAAAATGTGACCAGGGCTTTCGGCACATCGCGCTGCAGTCAGTTTCATGTATGTCCTGTGTGCGGTGATGGCGTGCTCAAATGAAAGAACCTTTGGGGTCATATCCTGCATTCGTACTGCGTGCATACAACGGCTATGCAATCATGGTGGGGGCATCTTCTTACATATTTGTGTGTGACATTTGTTTGCCTCTTCAGAATTCGTCCTTCATTATAGGGGAGAAAATGACTCCGAAGAGCAGGTTCAAGAAGCGGTAATGGGGTGGCAGCCGCTACTCCATGCCGGATCGCGGTCACACATACGTATGCATATTATTGTTTATGTTTACATGTTTATGTGTTTTTTTTTTTTTTTT